CATACATTTTAAAATGTGATAGTATTTTAACATACCAAAGTTTTCCAGAGAATGGGTATTGCCTTGTCTTTGTTCAATAAGCTGAAGAACAAATTAATTCTTTTAATTTTCTCAATTTTCATCAGAATTGTACCTCTCTCAGAAATTGTCCCATGACTCTGTCAAATAAAGGTAATGTTTACTTTTTTCTAAGCTGTCGATTTTGAGACGTCTGGAGATTTTGCGAGTGGAGATTTCCATGAATGGACGGATGACGAGGATGCCGAAGATGACCTTATGAACGATGAAGATGAAATTGAAGATGATGATGAGGACGAAGGGGACGATGATGATGGTGGTGATGACCACGATGGGTACATCTGATCGATGGCAGACGAGATCCATAAAGTCTACATTTCTAGTATTTACAAAGTGATAGCCTGTTAAGAATTACCTTCTTGCCCCCAAAACAAAATGATTCTAAACCTCACATATATTTTGTATAATTATTTCAAATATTGAAGCTAAAGTCGTAGAACTTTATGTTTAAATAGGAATCATTTGCTTTGAGTTTTTATATGCCTTACAGAAAAAGAAAACACATATGGAGTCTAGCCAGACAAAAGGAAGTTTTGAAGATCTACTAAAATAAATTTTTCATAAGAAAAACTTTGTAAATCTCACACAAACAAAATGACAGCCAGTGTTTGGGATGGTTTGTGTTATTTTTCATGAGAGATAGTCTAAGTTATATTCACGATACCTTATTAGTGACCGTGGCCCCACAGATTTTGTAAAATCATGCATGACCTTAATTGCATTTCCAAAGTAGCATCTTCACAAACCTAGAGCGAGTCAGGGTAACTGGGAGATCCCACGTGTTAAGCAAAACAAAGTGACGACGGTAGGTTCCTCCACTGTGCTTACGTTAATACCGGTGTTTTCAGTTATGAAATTATTAGGGATATAATAGGATATTTTACAAAATGGCAAGTATGGAAAACCATGGATTCTGAAAGCTAATAATTTAGTTTTCCTTTGTAATATGTATTTTAATTTTGATGGAAGTCTCATGTAGATGTTTTTAATATTCTTTAACAGCATGATTTCTTTACCTTTTGAGGTTTTTTTTTTTCATCTTTCTGACCAGCAACTTAGGGTAAAAAATTTAAATTAGGAAGATAAAGAGAATTTATTTAAACTATATTTTCACAAAAAGTGTGTCATTTGCCCCAAGGTCAAATTTTCAAATCTTAATTCTCATTTTATTTCCCATTTTAGATTAAAATTTGCATTTATTCTTAACATTATGCCATTTTTGTTAGTAGTGCTGAAACTTAGAGATCGTATTGTATGGTGCCTTGCAAAAATAGAAATAGAGAGGTTTTAGCATGCATACCAATATAGGATAATAGACAATACATAAGCACACCTAATTAACAAGTTAATATCAGTAAAGGTACTGCTGCTGGAATGGAGAACATGGAATATGTTTCTTTCTTTTTTTATTGTTACATAATTGCCGTGTGGACTTGTTTATGATTATTGTGTAGAGTAGCATTTAAAATTTAACTGTAGCAAAAATTACTTTAATCCGTGTATTTAAGTTAGCATGTTAATTAATTGTGTATGCATTTTGGCACACTGTCACTTTTCAGTATATCAGACCAATGGTTTTGTGTCCATAATAAAAATGGAAAAACCTGTTGGATGTTACACGTTGGTATCTTTAATTTCAATAATGGGTCAGCTGGTTTCCTGGTATACAATTCATTGAAAGCAAACTTGGTGGATTCTTTCCATTTAATTTATAGACACTAAATAAAAACTTTAATGTTGACCTTATGTAATACTACAAGTATAATGCATTTTCTTTTTTACTGTTTATGTATAGTTTACAAAATAAAGAATCTTGTAACCAAATTAAACTGGTCCTCCGTGGTTTTTCC